GGTTGGGAGGGCGCGCCCCCGCAGCTTGGCGGGGCGGCGGCGTCCCTCCAGCAGCAGCAGCAGCAGCAGCAGCAGCAGCACCAGCACCAGCAGCAGCACCTGCAGCGCAGCCTGTCGCCGCTCGGGCACCGCCACCGCGCGGCGCCGCCGGACGCGGGTGCTACCGCTTCTCGTGGCTCTGACGCGACCCCTGCAGGCACGACGGCGGCCGCTGCGACGGCGGCGGCGTGCGCCGCCGGCCGACAGACCGATTTTGGTGCGGCCATGCCGCGCGAGGCCTGGTAACCTTGCTCGTAGCGCAGCTAGAGCGGCCTCCGCGCGGCGCGCAATTGTGCGAGGGCCTTTGCGCGGGGGAGCGCCTTGGCGGCGCGGACGAGCGCAGCGGCTGGGGCGTGTGTGTGCCTCGTGGCGCGCTCCTCCAGGCGTGGCCTTCGCCCTCGACCCTCTTTCCCCGCCGGCCGCAGGCGTGCGCGGCTGCTGCTGACCGCGCCTGCAATCACGCCTGCGCCCGCGCGTGGCCGTCCTTTGTTGCGGCGGCCGCTCGGCGCCTCGCTCATTCCTTCCGCGGCCGCCATCACGCGCGCGCGCACGCCCGCATGCCCGGCCGCGGCCCCACACGCTGCGCCGCCGCTCGATGATCGATGCCCTGTCACGTCCTTGGATTTAAGCACTGAGTATGTACACCACACAAGTTAGACCCATGTCAATCCCCGACCCTCCTGCTGACCGGCATCCGAGGTGCCTCAGCGTGCTGCCACTTGCCTCGCGAGCGCGCCAAGATTTTCCTCCGCTCTGCCGCCACGCCTCGCACTCAAGAGGACAAGACAGCCGGCAACACATGCGCGCGCAACACGCGCACGCACACACATTTGCGAATTGATGTTCTTGCATTCGGGCTCGCCCGCGACTTTGGGGGCGCGGGGGGGGGGGTCGAGAGGGTCCCTGGCGGCCTGCGCCCGCCAAGGTGTTGCGCTCGGCTATTGCGGTGCCATTGCTGCTAAGGCCGCCGCCGCCGCCGCTGCCGGCGGCGGCTGCGGGTAGAGGGAGGGGGGACGGTCGGATGGCACGCGCGCGGTCGGGGCTGGCGGGGTCAGCGGTGTGGCCTGCCTCCTGCCGCCCGTCGCGGTGCGCTGGCGCGCTCGCGCGCACAGGCGCCGCTCACAGGCGCGTTTCATGCCGGGAGGGGGCGCCGCGGCGCGGCGGATGCGCTTGAGGTGCGCGACCGGCGCGCCATGTTGCATTGCATCCGCGATGCAGGGGCTGCCTTTTGTGCCTGCCGCGTGTGGGATCTGTAACAATGCGGCTGGCACGAGGGGGGCGAACCAGTGGGATGACGGGCCAGCTGGCGACCGGGGGGAGGCAAGGCGTTTGCTGACGTCATCTAGGAGAAGTCAGCCGCCAGTGATTTGGCTCGTAAGACCAGAAGGGGGGATCGATCCCCACTGCAGCTTGGAAGGTGTGATACCTGCTGGTATGCCAGCGCCGTGGTGTTGTTTGCACAGTAGGGCGGGTGGGGCGGCTGCAGTGCAATGGGATGCATTTTTACTGTAGAGTGCAGACGTGCGGTGCAGTGTTTGTGTTTGGAAACCAGCAGCAGCAGCAGCAGCAGGCTATTTCGACTCCTTTGAAGTGTGATGATCCCTGGCGCACGTTGTGGCGGATGACGTCTCTCTGGGTCAGCACTGTTGCAGTACAGCGGAAGGCACATGGAGTTCTGCACCGCAGCCAGCCAGCCAGCCACACTTTTGAGCATATTGGTTGGCAGCCCGCGCCAAGCGTCGAGTGCGCTAGAGCGCCGCTGCACTCGCGCGCACGTGCCAGGCACGGGTGCAATGGCCAGACTGCACCCCACCCTGCGCTGTTGCGATGTGCGAAACCATACTACTTTCAGAGAAGGGGCACAGTGTCCTGCGCAAACGATGTGTTGTTACAGCCGCTGAAGGCGCGAGGAGAGCTGCACGCGACTGGCCAGAATGAAAACGCGTCTCGCGGTTGCAGGCGGCGCGGCAAGGGGCAGGGCGAGGCGGGGGCCGCGCCGCGCCGCCGGGGCGGGGCGCGCGGGGGCGTGCGCCTCCTCTGTTGCCGCCTTGGACGTCGTGTTTGGGTCTTCAGCGGATGCTGTGTTAGCGCGGTTGTGATGGCGTCTTAATCGATGGGGTTTATAAGGCCGAGGGCGATACTCATGTTGCCGGGGTCCTCCTGGCGCATGGAGCCATAATCTGCGGGCGGGGGTGCGTGGGTGTACGTGGGTGTACGTGGGTGTGAGGGTGTGTGCATGCATGTGTATATGGGGGGTTGCCTTGCCAATCGCTACGATGCAATCGTCGACGCCTCCAGTCCTCTCTAGAACACTCCCCCGCCTCCCTCACGCCCTCCCACCCAAAGCCGATACGCCTTCTTGACCCCAGGCGCCCCCGCCCCCCCAAAACGCACCGCTAACCACCGAGCCCTCCCAAC